TCTAATGTGTGTTTTGGCCATGTAATGTTGCTGAAATTAAATATGTTATTACCTCTGAGCAGTGGCGTAGCCAGAATTTTAATTTTGGGCGGGCCTGGGCAAAAGTGAGCGGGCACTAGGCTAACTAACGGACGGAGTCCAGTGGCATAGCGCAAATCCGCAGCTATGAATGTCGCAATATTGTAAATAATTGTTTTAAACCAGGAAGGCGAGCCAATGGATATCACACAAGCAACGTGCAAACTTTGCGCAGGAGTTATGCGGTGAACCTCTTAATCTCAGTCGATTCACAAGAAAGTGAAAGTAAAAACTGGCGGCGCTTTCAGCATCTGACGCTGCATTAAAAGCGCATATTTTCTCAGAGACGACGAGAGACGAATCTCCTTCATATGCTGATAATGGTATATACAGTAGCTAAATGTTTTAATTTACTCCCTTAATATTTCTCATGTGGCCCGAACATAGGCTAGTGGAAAAAAATAAATTTTCAAAATAAATAAATAAAGAGAGAAGAAACGTAGGCTATTTCATGTTAAACAGGTTGTTTTTTTCTTTAAAAAAAAAGTCGGTGCTTGAAATAAAGTTTTTTTTAATGATTGCAGTGTTAATAATTTTAATTATAGGCCTATAATTCTTTGTATAATAAACCTGTTTTGAAAGACCTTTTTAAAAATGTTTTCCTCGCAGCGCGTCAGTTATGCGGTGATGCACTATGAAATGATTGCGGGGCAAATTAATTGTAATATTAATATAGTAATAAAAGTACCTTAATAATATTAATAGGCATTTAATAGGCATTAATAGGCACAACAGTGAGTGCAAGCTACATTAAAGTGATTATTACGTTTTGAATATGGATATTTTTCTTACAAAAACGCATCGATTCGCTACAGAAGGCCTTTGTTTGTTGTTTTTATTTAACTTGTTTTGGACTGAAGCATGCAACACCCGACTGAGTACCATGAAACAGCTTGAAAGATCAAAGACAATTTTTTATATAACTCCGACTGGATTCGTCTGAAAGAAGAAAGTCATATACACCTAGGATGACTTGGGGGTGAGTAATTTATGGGCTAATTTTCATTTTTGGGTGAACTAACCCTTTAAATCTACCAGTTGCAGTTGCTTCCGGGCGAGCGGATTCTGCGCAGCTTTCTCGCCTCCGCTCTGTTGCTATGAGTCATCAGGATTGATGCGTGTTCTCAGTGATTTGCTGGTCTGCGGCAGAATTAATGCGCGAGGTAAGTTGTCAGCGAAGCGCTCACCCAAGCGGAAAAATGTGTGAGTGGAAGAGCTCACGTGTTTCAGAGTATTTCTTATAGCAAGCTATAACAGTGAGAAGGCGGGTTTTCCCCTCTCTCTCTAACGTTACCTGCTGCGCTGCACTGCACTGATGTAGACACGTTAATTTGATTTGGCGCTTACGCTTCCAGCTCTTATTCGTGTACTGTTTTTAGATGCAGACTCTGAGGAGTCCTGCAGCAGATATTTTGTCGTGCACCATGGTCTTGGCGCTTCATGCTACTGAGCGTTGGTCTGCCCGAGTAATATAATATTTCTTTCAGCTCTGCTGCTGCGTTGAGCTGAAACATTAAGTGGCAAGCTGTTTTAAAGGGGTCATATGATGCGATTTCATTTTTTCCTTTCTCTTTAGAGTGTTACAAGCTCTTGGTGTGTGCATTTGAATTGGTGCTTACGCTTCCAGCTCTTATTTCTTGTACTGCTTTTAGGCACCGACTCTAGGAGTCCTGCAGCGAATGTTTGTCATGCATTATGTTCTTGGCGCTTCATGCTACCAAGCCGTCTGCCCGGCTGTTAATTTTTCTTTCAGCTCCGCTGATGCTTTGAGCTGGAACAAATCAGTGGGCACGCTCACATATCTAGAGTAAATTCCTATGGCAAGCTGTTTTACACCTAATGCCATAGTGACTCGGGCTGCAGAGTGAGCAGGGTTTTTCCTGTCTCTACTCCTGCACTGCATTAATTAAGGCATGTACATTGATTTGGCGCTTACGCTTCCAACTCTTGTTCATGTGACTGTTTTTAAGCACGGACTCCACAGCTGACATTTGCCGTGCGCTATGGTTTTTGGCGCTTCATGCTACCAAACACTAGTCTGCCCGGCTAATAATAATAATAATTATTATTATTATTATTATTATTCTTTCAGCTCCACTGCTGTTTTGAGCTGGAACAAATAGTGGACTATGTGCTATGAGCTGGCTCTGTGGAGTTTAGCAACACACATTTGTCGTGCAACATGGTTTTTGGCACTTCAGGCTACCAACACTATTTGCATAACTAATCATTATTCTTCTCATCCCAACTGAGATGCACTGAGCTGAGCTACTGTGTGAATGAGTTCACGTGTGCCGCATCCCATGTGAAAGGGCCTTACGAGTATCTCTTATTGCAAGTTATTAATGCTCACCATGGTCAGCCTTCTTCATGTGATTGATGCGGCGCTTTTGCTACCAACACTCGCTTCACATGACTGGCTGCATTATGTGACTGCAGCATACATTATTGTGCACTTGAGATGTTGGGTGCTTCATGCTACCAAGCAGTGGTTTGCATGACTAATTACTCTGTTCTTTTCAGCTCCGCTGTTGCATTGATCACTCTGTTCTTTTCAGCTCCGCTATTGCATTGAGCTGGAATTGTGTATGAATCTGTTCCACCGCTTATTACGTTTCGGACTGATTTTGACCGTTCTCTGCGCCTTAGCTTTGGAGATCGAGAGGATAGCCCTAAAGCCATTGGTGCAGGGTCTATGTTGACATCCAAGTCCCCACTCTGTGGTTAGTGCTGGCATGCCTAATTTTAGTATCCGTTCCTGTTTCAGAGGTTTTTCCCACAATTCAGGTGTCTCGGGGCCTCATGAGGGAGGATCAGGCTGTCGTATGGTTACACGATCCAGCTTCTATGGGTTGATTGAATTTGCGTCACCTAACCTTGTGCTTGGAGTAAGCAATTTCAAGATGCTGACGCAGAAGTTCATCCTGTCTCTATCTGAACCGGAGATTGGTTTGTGACCATCGATCTAAGGATGCGTACTTCTGCATCCAGATCGTCAAGAGACACAGGAAGTTCGCATCCATTCACCTTGCGTTCGAGGCCAGTTCAATGAAAGAATACAGTATTGGCAAGCTTTATTCCAAAAGCAAACCTGAGGAACTTCCTGTGTCTCTTGATG